CTAGATCTTCTGGGTGAAGTAGACTTGAGCCACTTAGCCTTCACACCATCACGAAGGTGTCGAGTCAAAGCCGATTAGTATATATATATATATATATATATATAAATATATATATGAGCTTTGCTTCCGTGGAACAGCCTCTGTGTTTAACAGGATGTGGGATCGTGGCGCTTGCCTAAAATGGGCCGCGATGGATCATCTTATCATATTCAGAAGTCGCGTGTTACGAGAAGTCTGGTGATAAGTGTCTAATTGATCGATCTAGATCTATTTAGGCCAGCTTCTAACATACGCCTCATTACATGGATTCAACAGAACCAATATACGATTGTAGTTCTTATACTTGATATCGATGATCAACTTGTCTATGGGTTGATCTTCTCGGAGACTTGTGAGGGGAACGTTGATAGTTTCGCAATAGCTCTTGTATAGTCCCTCGATGTCCTTCTAGATGATGATGATCTGGATTCAGGTGTCGCCAGCGCGCATGCCTTCGCTGGCTTCCTCGCGCCCGTCCGGGAACGATCGATATGACCTTCGCCAAGGCTTCCGTGATGTCTGATGGTCCGAGTCCACATCTAGGGATGAAACCGCATAAGGTGATGATCTATCCTGCCTTCGCGAAGTCCTTCGCCGGGCTGTACATCTAGGTTCTTTCATAGCCTTCGCTGCTGTACATCTAGGTCCTTCGCCGTCAAGGTGGTCCGTGCGGACTTCCTTCGCGGCAGCGTGACATCGCCCTGGCTGCTACGCTGGACGGGGGTGTGCCTCTGGGGTGTTGTCTACGTTGGAGCCTTCGTGGTTGCTGGACTCCTGCTACCGCCAGATATTGGTCCTCCATGATGTTCATAATTTGTCGCATCATGTCTTCTGGGATGGTCTGCGACGAGGTCGCCGGTGCTTTATCTGCGCGTGTTAATGGAGGGTCCACCGGAAAATCGTCCGACATCAGTGTAGAGGCATCAGGCTGCATGGTGATCTCTGCTGATGTCGTTGCAGCTGTCACCGGGTCGCTTCTTGTTGTATGCAGATTCGGGGATGATGATCAGCTGATCATCGTGAGAGGTCCAGGTCATCGGCTGGAACAATCTCGGCTTGAGAAAGTCCTAGTAGACTTCGTTGATTTTCCTCAGAGGTTCGACGCTGCCCTGGGTGTCGCGACGTCTCATGCTGGAGTTGTTGTAATGATGGGACCCTCAGGACGCATCATCGCATATCTGCGCTTGGTACATCAGGCTGCATGCTGATCTGTGCCGACATCGGTCAATCTTTTGATGTACAACCCGGTATGATGACCGGCTGATCATCATACAGGCCCAAACTTCGGCGATGGGAACGGTCTCCGGTTGTTGAGATGTAGTAGAAAACCCTCTAGTCTTCTGCTGCGACGATGGGATGTCTGGGGAAGCAGGATGCTTCTTGGAGATGGCGGACTACGCCCCACACCTCTCCACCACTCTAGCGGAACACCACACGGAGGGGAGTCGGCCAACAGCAGTAGACTGGCGAGGGGTTCCGTATCAGTCATACTAGACTCTGCATACAGCGACCTATCTGCTGTGCGTGCCAAACGCAAAGTAAATATTAATAAAAGGTAGAATTGGATAAATTAGTACCGCAACTGCAGTGTGAATATAATAAACATGGCGCATTACATCATATTAAAGTATGGATCAGCAGCAGCATAAAAAGCGTAATCTGCAATAGTAGAATTTTCATCAACGTAATCCACTGAAACAAACACGGCCCCGTGAATAAACTGTAGAAAAGCGACTAAATATCAATATATAATCGTTGAAGGATACTAGCTAAACCTCTATAGATGTCTATACGAGGTAACTAACTAAATATAAATCAAAGGATATAGTGTGTAATGGGAGACAGGCGCTCACGCCCAGCTCACTGGGCTTAAGAAGGAGAGTGAGGCACATGGGTAGAGGGCTCTCGCCGTTCAGCCAGGAAAGGAGGTAACTTCGTGGTGAATACTAATTAGTGATTTTAAATTGAAGGGAGCTTCAATTAGGGAGATACAAGTGTTCCACTATGTTCGCAAGAAGAAGAAGACAAGCAAAAAGAGCATGAGTCAGGATAAGGAAAAATAATGTTACTCAGTCCACTAAATGAAAGATACATGCATAATGCATGTAGGATTTAGTCAAAATCTCATGATTTCAGATCCCCATTAACTATAATTTGGAGCCTAAATTCTCTGAGACACACTTGTTTTGGTGATTACTTCTGTTGGCTGCTACAGAGTGAGTGAATGTAGTTTTATGTCACAGCCAGACTATTCCAAGGGTCGTAGTAACCAAATCCCTATCTGTGCATGAAACCATGGGTTGACTGACTGACTGAGTTTGGTTTTACGCCGCTTTTAGCAATATTCCAGCAACATCACGGCAGGGGACACCAGAAATGGGCTTCACACAATGTACCCATGTGGGGATTTGAACCCGGGTCTTCGGCGTGACGAGCCAACGCTTTAACCATTAGGCTACCCCATCGCCCCACCATGGGTTGAAAGCATGAGCAAGCATCCACAACGATCAGGGTACAAGGATGACCTCACAACCTCACAACGTAACATCCCTGTCTTCATCAATCCACATTTACAACTAGGATGTGTTAACAACATGTCCTGCTGCTTCAAATCCACACTGGGCCTTTCGAGTTAGATGTATGTCTGTTGTTTAATGCCAAAGTCAGCAAAATCCCAGCTGTATGACTGTGGATTAGATAATCCAGTGATTGATACTGTGAGCAAAGATCTGCACCATCAGGGCACCGTCATCAACCAAGACAACCAATCCACTAAAACAATCTAAGGGGACCAATTCTAAACCAATATACCACAACTGATCTCGCATAATCATTATCATAGCGTTGAGTACGATGCTGATTTGAATAAGTACAAACACTGACCATGTTGATTCTCGTCATTGGGCATCAAAGCACCAACTAAGCCAACTATAATCATATTTATGCACACAAATTAATCAACTTCACTCTTGCAATTCCATCAGCACGGAATTGAGGCATCAGCCACTCTCACAGACAGTAGCTTTTTAGTTGCCATGGTTACACTCAACATAAGCATAAGCACCATGCGAGCCAGGTAACACAACATAAATAGATTCTTGTCTTTGTAATTATCCTCCCATTGATTTTCTTGTTCAGGGTCTGTACTGATGTCACTGTAAGTATGGCAAGTGACTAATTTGGAAAATAACATACTGTTTTTTCCATAAACATTAATCTTGGAGATGCAGCAGAGCTTAAGATTAATAGGACCACTTGACACCCTACCAAGAGGAAACTTTGGGGTGGCATCAGAGCTCAAGAACCCATTTTACTGAGTAACAGAGGAGAATTTTAGTTTTATGGAGGTCTATGACATGGGCCAAATGAACTCTGAAGGATACTGTTACAAATATATTCAGCAGTTAATACTAGAAGCAAATATGTACAGCTGCATAAGATCGTGAGTGAGTGATTTGGTTTGCAAATATAATTAGAGCAGCTGGACAACAGAAACAAGCTTCAGACATTGTACCACAGTAGAGAACTGAACCCAGACTAATCGCATCCCAAGCAAGTGCTTTCATAATCTACTATTCATAATCTACTATTCATCAAAAAGCTAACTACCGCGTTGATATTTCTAATAATTCAAACACAGTGGTCTGCTGGCTGGTAATCACACATTCTTTCAGTAATTCTTGTCATCAAAGCTCTTATTACGCCAAGCCTTACAAGAGGAATGTAATTTATTATCTCTATGTCAAGTAGATTTAAAGATACCCCTTAGCCATACACCAACGATGTGATTTGCCCTTCATTTCTTCACGAAATCACCCTCAATCAAGCATAATAAAATTAAGGAACTGATTCCATGCCCAGTTTACTCGGAAGACTGCCAAATTTCAATCAAGAAGTATTAATTTCACAGCACTCTAGTTCAAGCCAGAGGCAATGCAGGAGATAATGTGTTGTTGGTAAGTACTGAAGTAGGGACTCTGCAATGATTGACACCCCGTCACAATAATTACATCCCCTTTTGCCCTGCTGCTTTGACTCCAGGGGAACTAGGAGCTGCTTCTGAAGCTACCTCGACACTTCCTACTTCAACTTACCCAAGAAATGCATGGAGTTCTGCCAAGTGGGACTAGGTTTGTTGCCCATGAGAAAATGCTGATATACATCAGAAGAAAAATGAAACTAGCTGTTAAAGAAACATTCTTACATTCCCACTTAATCTTTCAAACATTGTACCTTTTGAAGCAAGCACGAAATCAGTAATCTAGTGAGTAATCTGGGTTTGTGCTCACACTTGTTGGTTATCTATTCAAATTCCAAACTTCCACTTTTGAGATTAAACAGCAATCAAAGTAGTTTCTAGCGTGTTTGCAACCTGCCTGAATTAAACCTCCTGCCCAAATCCTATCTCCATAAGTGCAACTCATTTAAATTATCCCTTGCAAGCCAGAACCTTGTAAAACCATATTCACTGTGTTAAGCACCCTACTCAAACTGCCTTCTGAACAACTTCTAAGCACAGAAGGACTAATAAATTGCCGAGTAACTATTATCAAAATTATTTTAGCTTCTTCAACAAGCTGCTATTGTCCACTACCAATACCTCATAGTGTATGCCCAGAGCATTTACTACAGAAAACATGGTATTCCAGTGTATGTTCAAAATGGACAAGACAATTAAGTAATTCCTCAATACTGTGTTTAGTGTCAAGAAATCTATGAAGGTATGGGGAGATGTTGGTGATCTGGAGTTAACTGGTAATCATAATGTGTGTCAGATGTTTAATTTAAAATGCTTCTTCTCAACACACCCCAACAATGCTTTATACCAATGACCACAATTCATTTTAGAGGAATTGCGGCTGTAACCACAGTTTGAGAATAATGATTTGTCAGAAAGTCAGAACATTTTATTAGCGATGGTCATGTTGAACCCAAACCTGTCTGTTGAAGGGAATACTGACCTATTGTGTCTATGTACTTCCCCGTGGGGCTGGTTGGCCCGTTAACCTGGGCACTTCCGTCGCTCATCCCGTGTTACTGGCCAGCCACGCCCTGCAAACAAAACAAACATTTCATTAAATTAATTTCAGTGACAAATTTCAACTATTTTTTAACTATATACAATCAAATCGTAAAATGGTACACAACACTTCCCTAAAAACACTTATATTAGTCAATGCTGGGTTGGGGGATGCTTGCACTGATTATTGAATTTCTTGAAGTACTAGTCGATTATGAAATCAAAACTTACTTCAATCAACTTAACATATTGTCCAAGCAATAACAGTCATCAAACCAAAGGAATATAATACATGGTACTTGTTACCTTGGCATTTATCATTAACGGTATAATACACTGACTGATCAGATCATAGCCAGTTTACAGTTTCAGAATGGGATATCCTTATGCTGCATAACATTTCAGTGGACTAGCACAAACAACTGACATCAGTTCCTTTATGGATGTTCATGCTAACGCATGCACACACCCACACACACAAACACAAGGCCATGTCAGTACAATAACCTTGAATACAACCTTAAACGCCATTTCACCTAACCTTAAGTGATGAAACTCCCAACAGTCAGTGAGTCATGACTTCTCGCTCTACTGCCCTATGGCAACCACTTGAGCCTAAGACACACCACCACTGACACAAGCAGGCACAGTGGAAGATGAAGCATGAGAGACGATCAATGTTCCAAGATCAGGAAACCTGACATAACTCACAGGGAAGGACTGTGACTATCCGTTTAGTCATTAATGTCATGAGTGAGTCACTGCTTTTAAGTACCACCATGGTACTGTGCTAACTGAAACCAGCTTCCATCATGTTACCTGCTCAACATGGTGTCTTAGACAAACTGTATTGATGTAAGAGTGACACAGCATGTGATAGGACAACCTGACCTTGGAGTGCCCCAGACGGTAGCCAATTCTGTTTCAAGATACAAATAATTCTCCATCCTGGCCTGGTGTTAATATCTGAAGTCAACCAGATAACACTAAACATGCTTGTTATTTGGTTTGCTTGTTCAAAATGGTTTCCTTCATTGGAAAAAATTAACTGGAAATAAACACGTTTTTTTTTTCAGACATAAATAATCAGTTACTTCCTTGTACTACAATGATGTTCCACAACAAGCCTAAATTAATCTGATATTCTCCACAGTCCAAGCTCAATTGCAGATCAGTATCAGACTGGACATGGTACTACAATACAAGAGCCTCTGTAATCAAATAAACAATGCTGAATGCTGACAAATTGCAAAGTTTGAAACTAGAGCACGGAATCCCAGGAATGTTGTCTGTGTATCTACGGCTGTCAGTGACATATGCTCCAGCCCCGCCTACATCCCACACTTCACACCACAAGCTTTCCCATCTTCCTCCTGTGGGCTATCTCACAACCATCATCTGTTAAACGGAGAACCAGATCTAGTTCCCCATGTGAACCTTCAATTATTCCCCTTAGCCATACTGAATGAACGTACAGCTTGATCTTGTCTCCTCTATCACTCAACTTATTCCTTCCCCTCTCAAAATCAAACCCTTCAATTCAACAAGCTTTCGCACTATCCATGGCCTTACCTTGTGCCTTACTGTGTGAACACAACTGAATTAACATGTTTAAGCCAAATTCATATAATAATAACAGGTCTTTGATTTGTCTCAAGCCCACAATTCTGAACTAGACCAATATCGTTTCAGCCAGGATGTGAAAAGAAAACAAGCTACTTTTCTCAGCACTGCCCTGAATAATGATGACATAAAAGCAAACATTATTCGCCTGAGAGAAACCTTTAAGATAGGTCAGATCTCTCTCGGGGAGTAGTGGCTATCCATCCAATTATCTTCAATAACCCATCTCCCTCAAGAACTGAAGTAGATGGGTCCGCCCTTTATAATCTCTCTCCCATCCAATATCACATTCAATAGCCACAGTATGAAGAGGAGACAGATCAGACCTCACCAACATCGCTCTAAAAGTTCAAGGTCACTGTGCAGATTATGCTGACACTAACATATTCATGATAAAATCCCATAAAGCATCTGACAGCTCAACGTGACACAAGATTATTTGCAGCGCCATAATCTTTCAAAATACTGCATATTTAAGGCTACTTCGAAGTGTAGCTGTGTCTTTCTTCCCTGGACGAAGCTCAGCAATGACACAGACAATACTTAACCTACCCAGTTGTTGACACAGCCTTGGGTTGTTACCACACACTGCTACTTCACAAGTACTGTCCACTTGTCACAACGTGTGTCCAGCTGCCTAATAAACAACAGGTCAACCAAACACACCTGGTCAAGGATTGTACTCACTGGCTGTATGATGTCTGACAATCTCCTATTTTAATCACTTGTCATTTGATAGCTTAGGGAACATAATCTTACATATCATATTTCAATTACAATCACAGCAGAAGGTATGTCATTTCCTACCCTATTCATCACTGACCTGCAGCACATATTACCTCTGAGGCATTTGCCATCTCCATTCCATGTTAAAAAATATTCATAACTGAGAAGTTAAATACACCTGTGTGAAAGGATCTACTTCACAACTCTTACATTTCTGGTAATTTGTGTTATGACTCCCTGACACTCATGAAAAAACTATCATGACAATGAACACAAAAATGTGTCCCAGTACGGTGTCCATCAGTGTAGCTGCATTCATGCAAATTTAATGTCATTTAACTTGATGCAAATTATCAAAATATGAAAAAAGAAAACATAACATTAACAGTCAATATAATACTTAGTGAAATGACTAACTGCTCTAACAAAGGCTTTTTCTAAAAAAAATGTTCATATAATGCATAAATACCCCAGTATCCAGCCAGGTAAATTCAGCACTAGACAGATCGTCTGACGTATAGCAGGTGCTTTCAATAGAATTATTCTCATTCACACCGACGCTGGGTGTAGAAGGTGAAACCAACACTAGAGTCTTTTCATGCTAGGCTGGACTTGACACCAATAGACCTCTACTCCTCCACACACAGGTGCCCCCAAGCCAGCCAGTTTACACTGTAAAGGATTCTATTGGCAGATTCAAATCTGGCAGCAATCAAACATGTCATATTGACTTTATTACACTAGTCGGTGTCAATAGTCTGGGGCCGAGCTGCACTTTCTATTCTGCTCAGTTTATGACCAACATTTTCCTCATGAAACCAACTATACAGGTATTCAGGTTGCCCTTCAATGACCTAGATTTGCTGGAGGCTTCCAGAAAAAGCCCACAGGTACACTCAAGGATTAGTTGTTTGTGAAACAATCTCCTCCTTTAATTCACACAATTCTTTCGACCAACGGGACCTAATACGCAGATCTACAATCCCAGTTGGATACAAAGCATGACAGTCAGGGGGTCCTTGTCATTAAAACTAAAGCTCATAAGAAAAGACAGAACAAAATGTACTAGACATCTATATCAGACACTGACAAAACAACTTATCATGAGAAGTCCAGCAAACTAAACATGTGACATGTACTTCCAATCATAGGTATTATTATTATAGGATATTTACATAGCGCACATATCCACGCAACTAGTACATGCTCAAGGCTGGTATTGAGCAAAGAATTAGCATATCAATAACTAAAATATTTATACAGTGACTGGATAAATGATCAATCCGAGTGTGTCATTCAGTAATCACATGTGGCATACTGCAATGGGTAGTAATATAGTTGCAATGTAATTAGACCATTACCACCTAATGAGATGATTACACAAGCAGAGGCCACTCACGTCACTTCTCTACAAGCTTTCAATTAGACAGATCATATATTAATTTGCTTGGCACATGTCTGCTGATTTGCTATGATGTATCATCATTATGTGATTAACAACAGAAATGACAGTGTGATATATTTGATCCCTGTATGCATGTCAATACAGGCTGACATGATCAGTGATAAGCTGAACAATTATACATGATTACTGTAAACAGGACATCTGTTATGAATTAAAACGTAACAAGACCTATGAGTAAGTGCTTGTTAAGTTACACCTCAAACAAATGAGTGGGTATTGTATACCTGACATTACGTCATGGCAACACATTTGTAAATTCATACATACCACAGTTATAATATCAACATAATCAAATGTTTAATACTGATAGCTTTCATGAAGCTAGTAGTACTGACTGACTGAGTTTGGTTTTACGCCGCTTTTAGCAATATTCCAGCAACATCACGACAGGGGGACACCAGAAATGGGCTTCACACATTGTACCCATGTGGGGATTCGAACCCGGGTCTTCGGCATGGCGAGCCAACACTTTAACCACTAGGCTACCCCACCGCCCCGAAGCTAGTAGTAAGTTACAAGTACTGACTAGTTGGGACCAGACAATCCAGGGACCAGTAGTATGAGCAAAGGCCAACATGTTACCAATATGAGTAACCAATCCATTTGGCAGATGCTAGTGACCAATTCTAGCCAGTAATCTCCACTCTAGTGTTGATGAAGTATTTGTACCAGATATATAACATGTTTACATTCAACATGAGTTGACGCCACTGCGCTGACTCGGACAACAATAGGATGCATGAACCCCACATGATAACCCAGTATTGACATCTGAACTGCCAGCTCCCTAGAAATAATTCAATAACTCTCAAACAAATTATGTAAATCTGACAACTTGGTAACAAGTTTTCAAAAACCAGTGGCACTTGACCATGTATTATGTAAACACAAAGAGCTTTGATACCATACCAATCAGACAAGAAGCATATTAAGCTGCTCTGACACAGTACCTTGCACTGCATGCCATACAGATGGGTTCTTGATGCAAGTGCAATGATGGCAGTCTGATCATATACATATTTAAACTAACTGAACTTGAGAGCATTCTCTATAATAAAGAACTCATTACAGCATAAGTTTTAGAATGTTGCCATAAATAGTGAAGAATGTTTGTAACAAACAACAAAGGAATACCAACAGGGTGAGTATCAGTACTGTGCAAAGTTGAATCAATCAATCTCAGGCCTATTTCTCACGTCCAACAAGAAAAGACATATT